TTCTACCTCCTCAGCTGCCTCTCGCCGCGAGGCTCACTGGGGTGGTGGGTGGGCCGCCTGGTGCCGGGGTTCCCTCGGGGGACAGACCACACAGGGTCTCCCCCGAGTCTCCGTGCCGGCCCCTCTGTGGGCGGCCCCTGCCCCACGTGGAGACCGGTCTGCGTCCTTGCTGGCGGGGGCGGGGGGCAGCGGCCGGTATGTGTGTGGGTGCCGGGGAAGACGGTGGGGCGCTGTACCCCCGGTATGTGTGGGGTGCCGGGGAAGACGGCGGGGCGCTGTGTCACCGGTATGTGTGTGGGGTGCCGGGGACAACGGCGGGGCGCTGTGCCCCCGGTATGTGTGTGGGTGCCGGGGAAGACGGTGGGGCGCTGTGTCCCCGGTATGTGTGGGGTGCCGGGGAAGATGGCGGGGTGCTGTGCCCCCGGTATGTGTGTGGGGTGCCGGGGAAGACGGCGGGGCGCTGTGTCACCACGGCCTCCGCCCACGTCTCCCACGAGCTCTTCTCAGCGTTTGTTTTCTGGAAGTTTGTGAGAAACGCCTTCCGCGGCGCGGCTCGCCCGCATCCCACGTCCTCACGCCGGTCCTCACGCGTTTCTCCCGTCTGGTCTTTGGGGCACGGGGGACATGCTCATGCTCGCTGGCCACCCTGGAGCTCCCATTCCGGGTGTTGTGACATTCCAAGGACGTTTCAAGACCGTGTGTTCAAACCCGATATGTTTGTAACAATGGCATTTTACTTGCCTTTGTACTCAAAACTTTCTTCTCTTTCAAGAGATCATTTAAAAGCACAACACCATTAATGACTTTAATTTTTTTTAATTGGATTTATTTAGAGAAAGTCTAAAGTAAACTTGGTGACTTTTGTTCCTTGGCCACAGAGCCGGTTTTTCACACTCCATAGAGAGGAAGTCCCTTCGGCACCTGCTTGTGGCACCTCATCCGCTGTTACGCCCGTGTTAGTTCAGGGAATTCTCACAGGCCACCGACTCTGACCCCTGATTTTGATCACCACCTTGGACCAGTTCCATAGGGTTTTATTTACGCTTAAAACTAGGTTTTCGTATTTACCTTGTGTCCCAACTCATTGCTGTTGCCTTTTCAAAGTTGTATTTACTCTTGTATGTTTGTTCTCATAAGCAAACATGGGGACAATTTGGTCACATTCCAAACCAAGCAAAACAAACCACCTGGACAAGTTTTGAGCAAGATCGTTCAGTCACATGTGACGCAGGAAGGATGGATATCCTCCCCATTAAAATGATAGTGTCTCTCTACGTTTGGGGTTGTTTCTGCGTGTGCGTCTTCAGCGAAGGCTTGTGTACGTACTGTGGTCAACAAGTACACTTCTGGTTAATTTTCGTGTACTTTATGGTTATTGCAAATGCAGTCTTTTTCATCACCTATTTCGAAGTAATACTTCTTATTTTTATTAAGAGGGGAATAACAGCTGTCAATTATTAAAAAGAGTTAAATAAAAATCCCTTATAAGTCACAGCATCCAGAAGAAACCACCCTTTTTGGTGCCCGCCATTTCTCTGTGTGTCTGCGTACGTATTTTTTACGTGGGCACGTGCTGTGTATAGTATTTGGTAACCTCATTCTCAGTCGTTGTTAAATCTTGAAAGTCTTTCCATGCCATTAAATATTCTTACAAGATGGTTTTAGGGCCCGCACTGTGTGGCTGAGGGACACTGCGTAGCCACCTCCAGCGGCGGGAGCCTAACCGTGCCCGGAGTTTGCACGCAGCAAGTCTCCTGCCCTGAAGAGCGACGTCATGAAACTGCCACGGGAATTAAGTGTCCGTCACGTGTGCTGCAGGTTGTTTTCCTGGGCTATCATTTTTCATTTAACTCTATAGCGCATTCGATACATCCACATTCTTCTTTAGAGTTGACTTTATCTTTTCATTCAAGCCTTTTTCAGGTCACTTTACTATTTCTCAAATTAATAAATTTTATTTTTCAGAGCAGTTTTAGGGTCACGGCAAAATGGAGCAGCAGGCACAGAGTTCCCACACACCCCGACCCCGCGTGCACCCCGCTGTGCACCACAGCCCAGCTGATGACCCCGCAGTGACACGTCACCACAGCTGATGACCCTCCAGCGACACGTCAGCACCCGCAGTCCAGTGCCTCCGGGCTCACTCTGGGTGTTGGACTTCCCGTGGGCGTGGACAGTGCGTGGTGGCGTCCCTCCGTCATCGCGGTGTCACGCGTGCAGGTTTCTGCGTGGATGTTCCTGCGTGAACGCCACGGAGCAGGCCTGCCGGGTCCCGTGACACGGGACGTTTGGTTCGGTGAGACTCTGCCGCGCTGTCTCCCAGAGCGGCTGCCTTTGCAGCCCCAGCAGTGACCGAGGGCTCCTGCCGGTCCACGTCCCCCAGCATCCGCGTCGCCGGGGCCCTGGGCTGTGGCCGTTCTGATGGGCGCGCGGCGGTGTCTCCCTGTTGCTGTCACCCGCTTGTCCCTGATGACCTGCGCTGTGGGGCGTCTGTCACGCGCTTCTCTGCCGTCTGCACGTCTTCCGCGGTGAGGGGTCCGGTCTTGGGCCCGTTTGTGAAGCAGCTCGTTCGTGTCCTCGCTGTCGCGTTTAAGCGTCTGTCGTATGTCGTGGGTCACTGTCCTTCATCAGATGAGTCTTCTGTAAGTATTTTGTCCCAGTCGTTGGGGAGCCTTCTCCCTTGCTCGAGGTCGACTTTCAGAGCAGAAGGTTTGTGGCTGACAAAGTCCAGTGCCTCAGCAGACACACCCGGGAAATCCTGGACCGGCCAGACCTCGCGGGCCGGTGGGGTTGTGTTGGCGCGCCCTTATCCCCCAGCAACGTTTAGGGATCAGAGGCTGTCGTCGCGTTTCACTGTTGCTTCTGTTTGAACAGGAGACTAACACGCCGTCTGAGTGTCACTTTGTCGGTAACCAGAACTTTTTGTGGAGACACATGGCCACCTAGCAGGCCTGTTCGAAAGTACTTGGCCACATCAGCATTGGTGTTCCGAACAGTTACTTGTGGAATCTGGGTGCAGATGTGTGCCCCCTGTTTCAACTTATTCTAGAACAGCTGCCACGAGCCACACGTGCTGGTTAAATAGATTCAGATTTCCTTTCCTCCGTCATGCCAGGTGCGTGTCAGCTGCTCTGCGGCCGTGCACGGGCGGAGGCCCCCTCGCTGGACAGTGAGGGCACTGCCCGCCCATCACGGAACGTTCTACTGGATGCTCTTCCTCCAGGACGGAAGCAGCTATGCATTAAAACAACAACAAAAAAACATTTTGAGCAATTTACTTTTATCTTGTAGTAATTACTGAAATAAAATGTTGAATAAAAAAGGAAGAATAAAGTAAGAAACAGAGACAGGACTTTTTTCCCACTGTTACTTTCGGCTTCGCTTCCACTTGTCTGGACAGAGAGAGCCGCCCGTCCGCTCAGCTCAGCGCACACGCAGCTCCCGTCCGCTGTGTCTTCTTGGACAGGCGGGCGGTGACAGCTGGTGAAATACCTGTTTTTGCATAAATTTCATTCCTGCAATTCATAATGTGTCTACCTAAAACCTCTGATTCTTCCTGGGAGTTGGACGAACGTGGCAGCAGAGGGACCCGCAGGGAGGCCGCGCTGTGGATGGAGGCCTGGGAGGTCCCCCGAGGCCGGCCACTCGCTCCTCCCGCCACTGACCTTGGAATCAGAGCATAAACTCACTTCATTGCTATAGAAATTGCATTTTCTCCAAGTTTATTTTTTAAGGCTCTCATATTCAAGCAACATTTAACATAGGGTTTTATTTTAAAAGTGTTTACAATATGTGTTATTTCAGTTTACTCTTAATGGTACAGGGACAACTCACCTATGAACGGTTTGACAATTTCCTTGGAATGAAAGGGAAAAACCACCAGGAAATATAATGTGGTTTATGGTTTCATCTATCATTTGTCTGCTACTGATTCTTTTTTTTTTCTTTTTTCTTTGTAGGTTATTTGCCGTGTTTGAATGTTGAGAAGGTATAATTGTTACAACTGCATTTTTAAATAGTGGGGATTTGTCCAAATAGGATGGTTAATGTAGGATAACGTGTGAAAGTAGGTATTTGGTGACATGCACAGCAGTCTGTTTTGAGCTGTTCCTTAAAGCGAAAGTGTCCAGCTCGCACGGGCAGCTGCCGTGCAGACCGTCTGTCTATTTGGAGGCTAATTTATTATATTTGGTAAGCTTACATCATGTTAGGGAAGGTGGGGACAGGTTGGGTACTTACATGAAGGACAGTGGATGACTCTGTTGTCCGTCATCTGTTAGAGTGAAGGGTTGAGTGACGTTACTGTCAGGTGTGCAGCCACGTCCTGAGTCGTAGGTGCAGCACAGGACATACCCACTGTCAGCCACTTATTTCTTCCACGAGCAGTCACTGAGGTCACTTGGCCCTCTTGGAACTTTGCCCTTAAAAGGCTCCCTGCTGGACAGCGCCTCAAAACGAGTCAGCAAGTTGATGTAAATTGCAAGAGGCTGCCAGGGGACTTGAAGGCACGTGGGTAAAAGGCAGACACACGTGTCCTGTGGAAGATGCCTCCTCTGTAGAAGCACTACTTGAGAGAATTTTCTAAATCAGTCTTTCTTCGGTCGTCATTGGGAACGTTGCAGCTGAGGCGAAATGCTTTAAATAGGGAACCGGTGTGGTTGGGCTTTCTGGGGCTGCCGTTCACGTCCACCAGAAGATGGACGAATGTGCCACGGACGTCACAGCTGTCATTCAGGAGGAGATGCTTTAGTCAGTGGGTCTCGTACACGGTGCCCCAGGCTGTTGGAGCCAGGCAGGTGCCGAGGCAGGTGCTCGACAGCACTGAGCTTCACTTCAGGTCCAGCTGCTGTGCAGACGGGTCTGTACCTAGGAAGTCACCTTTCGGAAGGAGGCGACGGCACACGTTTCGGGGCCCTTGTAAAGCCGTCCTCTGGGGGAGGCAGTGGCTCCCTAGGCGCTCGGGACGGGGGTTCTCAGTGTGCTCTGCTGTCATTGCAGCCATGACGTCCTACACGCCGTACCTCGTCCTCCTGTGCGGCGCCGTGGGGCTGGCCAGGGCCGCAAAGATCGTCATCGTGCCGCCCATCATGTTTGAGAGCCACATGTACATCTTCAGGACGCTGGCGGAGGCCCTGCACGAGCGGGGCCACCGCACCGTGTTCTTGCTGTCTGAGGGCCGCGACTTGGCGCCGTCCCCCAGCTACGGCCTGCACCGCTACCCCGGCGTCTTCAACAGCTCCTCCTCGGACGCCTTCCTGCAGGCCAAGATGCACAGCATCTTCTCGGGCAGGCCCACGGTGCTGGAGCTGCTGGACATCCTGGACCACTACGCCCGCAACTGCGACATGATGCTGGCCAACCACGGCCTGGTGAGCGCGCTGCTGCGTGAGCGCTTCGACCTGCTGCTGGTGGACCCCAACGACATGTGCGGCTTCGTGATGGCCCACGTCCTGGGCGTGCAGTACGCCGTGTTCTCCACCGGCCTCTGGTACCCCGCCGAGGTGGGCGCCCCCGCGCCGCTGGCCTACGTGCCCGAGTTCAACTCGCTGTTGACCGACCGCATGAGCCTGCTGCAGCGCATGAAGAACGCGGGCGTGTACCTGGTGTCCAGGCTCGGGGTCAGCCTGCTCGTGCTGCCCAGGTACGAGCACATCATGCGGAAGCACCGGCTGCTGCCTGCCACGTCCATGCCCGACCTGGTACAGGGCTCCAGCCTGTGGATGCTCTGCACGGATGTGGCGCTGGAGTTCCCGCGGCCCACGCTGCCCAACGTGGTGTACGTGGGCGGCATCCTGACCAAGCCGGCCGGGCCGCTGCCACAGGTAGGGGACGGGAGGGGTCGTGGCATTGCTGCTGCTGTGGGAAGTGGCATCAGGGAGTACCCCCCACTCCCCCCGTTCCTCCCCACCCACGTCCCATCCCACCCCGCCTATGTCCCTCTCCCCGTGAGCAGAGGGTGGCCGGCGGTGGTTTTTGTGGGTGTGGGCCATGGCACGTGAATGGGGCCCCGTCCCTCCGAAAGCAGCCGCAGGCCTGTCCAGCTCGGGTGCCCAGCGGGCGGGGCCGCTGGCAGGGTTTTCTCGGTGTCACGGCAGTGAGGTGGGGCAGTGCTTGCCCCCACCCGGGGGCTGCTGGCGAAGTCAGCAGCAAGCATGGCCGTGTGGCAGCCCACCCCATCACGGTTCCATTTCAGGGACCGTTGTGGCCCTTGGGGAGCCCTGTCCTTCCCCGGGTCAGGCCCGCTCTCTCTGCTGCCAGCGATGGCTGGGACCCTGCTCTCCGTCCTGGTCTGTGTTTGGCGCTCACACTAGAGGGCGAGTCCCCGCCCTCTGTGTTTACAGTTGGCGCCCTGGGGGCAGTTACTGGGGGCGCAGCCCGCTCTCCCCAAACCTGAGCCCAGTCCCCGCCTCCGCCGCTGGCACCTCTGCTGACTGGCCAGTTTCTAGCTGCCACCACACACTGACGGACCCAGACCTGCCAGGGCAACGGGAGCCTATGGCCACCTTCTGTCCCCCAGGCAGTGGGGCAGCTCAGCCAACAGCAGAATCCTCCATGGGTGGCAGCGTGATCTGGGTGTCCCCGCAGACTTTGCTCGTGCTCCCACTAACGCAAGTCTAAGAAGCAGTACATCGCATGTGACATGGGACTGGGGGGCCACCGGGTCTGTGCCCATCAGCCGACTGTTTCCCACAGATGCTGCCCATGGGTGAGGCACAGCAGTCTCTGAGGTCAGCTGTGGGGCGGAGGTGATCCGATCCCAGCCCACCTGGCCTCCAGGAATTCATGCGGTTTACTGATGCCACAGTGTCCCCCCGCAAGGCACCGTGTGATGGCGGCTGCCCTCCTGAAGGCGGCTAAAGCCAAATCTTAGCAGCAGCTTCCAGACGAGGTGGTAAGCGTGCCTGGCCGTACCTGGGTGGCTCATGGAGCAGCAGACCGCCTGTGCCCGCACGTCCTCACCTGCTCCCCGGTCTGCCGTGGGTGAAGGAGGGGCCGGGGTGAAGGGCAGGCTCTGCTCCCACAGCCCTGGGCCAGCTCCCAGCGGACGTGCAGAGTGGTGGTCTCCGCGTGGCTTTCTGCGCCGCCCTCCGTCCAGGCGCGTGGCGGGGACGGTGCTTTTTCCCCATCACCCGGCCGTTTTTCACCCCCCACGGGTCCCTCTGCCCGTCGGTTTCACTTTAAAAAAGAGCATTTTCAGTGGTCTTGGAGCCTCCTGTGAGTGGTAGTTTCCTGGTTTGACATAATTTCTGGTGTGACACTGGCTCCACCTCCTTTGTGGGTTCCCCGTTTTCATTTTTCTTCTGGGCTTTTTGATGATTCTTGCGAAAATCTGCCTTTTATTTACACTGGCCACGTTGGCTATGCCAAAGGCCCCGCACACCTCACATGGACGTGCCCATGGGTGTCTGTGGGCCCGTGTGTGTGAGGGTCATTCACAGACTTCTTTAGCAGGGACAATTCCAGAGACGATCGTCTTACGTGGATGTCCCTTGTCCCGCTGAGGCTTACAGGCTTGGGGACATGCGTTCCCACTGGGTCTTCTCTAGCAGATCCAGCTGATGCGATAAACTGTCTCGGGTTCTAGAGATTGATGAGTTTCTCAGATACTGTGTTATACATAGGTCACGGTCGTGACACTGAGCTGGCAATGCCCCACGGGGCGGCCAGGCTCATTTGTGGGCTGCCTGGTGTCGGGGCGGGCTGGCTTTCCGGATGGTTTGGTTTCACAGCCTGGGACCAAAGGGCGGGACAGTTTCTAAGAGACGCGGGTTAAAAGCTTTCATAGCGTTTGCGCCTGAAGAAACTCCAAGGTGTCTCGTTCATGTCCGTTCACGACGTTTATTTTCCCCTCAGAGCAAAGAGAGCACGCCATTCATTTGCCACCTAGGAGATTCAGAAGCTTGAGTGGCTTCTCCAGCCCACACCGGCCGTTGGGGGCCGAGCCAGACGCATGCGTGGAGTTGCCACTGGCAGATGTTTGGTCAGGACGCCTGCCCCGCTTGTCACCTGTTCGATTGTTTTCACATTAATGGGACATACAGAGCTGTGCTTATTTGAGAGCTCAGTGGTTGTGAGGACATAACGTGACCATCAGGTTAAGCCGTTTGTGTGCTTCAGAGGCGTGGTCGTAGGAGGCAGCCAGAACTCGACCGCTTTGACTGCAAAGTGCTGACTCAGGGAAGAGTGAGGTCCCCAGGCCGGGGCTCGGACCCGTTCTGCGTGCGCGTCAGCAACGCGCCCAGCTCGTACGCGGCCTGCCACCCGGAGCCCACCTGGGGCCCTCACAGCGCGTGGCCGGGGAGAGGCCTGGCTGGACACAGGCACCGGGCAGCTTGTGTCCTCTGTCGGAGCAGGGCGGAGAGAACAAGGGTACAAATTAAAAAATAAGAATAATAATAAAGGTTCGCTTTGGCCAGGAAGGCCTGGGAGTGTGGGCCCTGTCCAGTCAGGTCCTGTACGAGTTACACGAGAGGGAAACGTGGCAGGGACAGGGTGTGGTGGCAGCTTCTAGTGGTGGAGCCAGGGGTGATGACTGTGACTCCGCAGCAGCGTTGACCGTGTGTTTACTTAGGGGGCCGTTGGTTGTTAAAGTGAATGTCTCTCTGGTGATGGTTTTTGATGGTTTTCTGTTGGCTGAAGTGGTCTGGTTGTGTCAGGCCGTGATGTCAGCCACTTCTTGGCCTCGCAGCCCCGATCTGTAATCACATCCTAACTGCGTGTTCCGGTGGGTGCTCTCTCTAACTAGAGTGTGGGTGGGTGCCTCCTGGGGGGGCAGGGGACACCATTTTATATCCCGAGACCCTGGACAGTGGCGGGCACTCACTCAGTAACCGTCTGAGTGTAAATGACCCGCTCAAACACAGCCGTTGGCCCAGAAGCAGGTTCAGCGGACACAGGGCGCCCGCATTCCCCGGCACCCCGACTTCGCGGTTCCCGACTCCCGTCTGCACACCGCCGCCGCCGCCGCCGCCGCCGCGAGCCAGGTGCTGGGCTGTCATTTTGGTGGCTGAGCGTTCTGGCTCTGGGGCGGGGACCACTCCGTGTCCCAGCTGGTGAACTGGCCCGGTGCGAGGGGCAGGGGCTGCTGCCGTCCCGGGAGGTGACTGGTCGTCCGCCGCCATCGTCCGCTGCTCCTGGCACGGAGATTGAGAACAAGGGCGACCTCCTGGTACCAGTCGTGCCATTTGCCAGACACTTTTACTCAGAGAAGTGCAGTCATGGGAGAGAGGCAGAGGCCGGGGCCAGGTCGGGGCGCCCGTCTGTCACTCTGCCCTGCGCAGAGCCGCCTCACAGAGGACGGCCTTGGGGCACGCGACGCCGCCTTCGTCCGGGTCGCTCCGGCTCCGGCGTCGGTCATCGGTGTCTCGAGCGGGTCCGACTTCCGGTCTGGGGTCGGGTCAGGCGTCTGGTCCAGGGTCCGGGTCTGGCGCACGGCGTCCGTCATCGGGTGTCTGGGGCGGGTCCGCTTCCGGTCCGTGGTCTGGGTCCGGCTTCTGGTCCAGCTTCCGGTGTCTGTCATCGCTGTCTGTCATCAGTGTCTGGAGCGGGTCTGGCTTCTGGTCTGGGGTCGAGTCCGGCTTCCGGTCCGGGGTCGAGTCCGGCTTCCGGTCCGGCTTCCGGTGTCTGTCATCGGTGTCTGGAGCGGGTCTGGCTTCCGGTCCGGGGTCGAGTCCGGCTTCCGGTCCGGCTTCCGGTGTCTGTCATCGGTGTCTGGAGCGGGTCTGGCTTCCGGTCCGGGGTCGAGTCCGGCTTCCGGTCCGGCTTCCGGCGTCTGTCATCGGTGTGGAGCGGGTCTGGCTTCCGATCTGGGGTCGGTTCCGCTTCTGGTCCGGGGTCGGGTCGGGTCCTACTCTGGCACCCGGTGATCATCAGGGGCGTCCTCTGGGTTCAGGATCCCAGCGTCACATGGATCTTGAGCGCGAGCGTGAGGCGTCTGTCATCGGTGTGGAGCGGGTCTGGAGCGGGTCTGGCTTCCGATCTGGGGTCGGTTCCGCTTCTGGTCCGGGGTCGGGTCGGGTCCCACTCTGGCACCCGGTGGTCATCAGGGGCGTCCGCTGGGTTCAGGACCCCAGCGTCACATGGATCTTGAGCGCGAGCGTGAG